TTCATGGGTTTAAGTTACCTCCGTTTCTGAAACCGAAAACTCCGAGTTTCCCTCATTTCGGGGTTAACAAACTCTGAGTTTCGACAAAACCGCCTTCTTGAAATAGGCCCCTGGTTATTTGGTTCAGTAGTTGACATAATTCAGTATTGTTTGTTCTTTTCTGTCAACAAATTCCACTGTATACAGCCAGTGCTTCCAATCCAATTATATCTCTCTGAGGTCCAAACCATTTGCAGTGTTATATCTTTTAATAGTTTTTATGATGCAAAATCTGACTTCAGTTTAGAAGCAATACAAGTAACAGACACATTTTATTTGCACTTTTTAGTATGCTATTGTAGCTCGAGCATTCAAGCACCTTGTTTCTCTTTGTTAAACTTGAATGTATTTCTGGCATTGTCATGTGATGCTATTTTATGTATTTTATTTCATTCATTCATCTTCCATACCGCTTAGTCCCGAACGGCATCACGGGGAGGCTGGAGCCAATCCCAGCCAGCAATTGGGCGAAAGGCGGGGTACACCCTTGGACAGGTCGCCGGTCCATCGCAGGGCCAACACGCAGACAAACAACCACACACACCCACACGCTCTCCTACGGGCAATTTAGAGATACCAATTAAACTAAGCCGCATGTCTTTGGACTGTGGGAGGAAGCCGGAGTACCCGGAGAGAACCCATGCAAACACGGGAAGAACATGCAAACTCCGCACAGAAAGGTCTCGTACCTGGGACCTGCTCACTGTGAGACAACGGCGCTAACCACCGCGCTGCCCTTTATTTTATTTATTGTTTTTATTATTTTATTTAAATTTATGTGTACTTCTAACATGTTTGGTAAAATAAATGTTGTACATTCAAATCAGAACCTCTTCTGTGTCTGGATTCCAGACTCTAGAATGGATGTATTCTTGAGTCTATAAGGTAACAATAATATAATAAGATAACCTTGTTTAAAATGGGTTTGGCTAAAACAAAATTTTGGTTTCGTGTATAATACTAGGTACTTATACTATATTGACTGGATTAAATAAAACTGCATTACTAAAAAGAGACTAAAATACAATTTTCATTGACTAAAACTAGACTAAATGTCATCAGGTTTCATCGACTAAAACTAGATGAAAATAGTTATGGATAATTCTGACTAAAATAAGACTAAAATGCTCACACTATTGTTAGAAAAACCCAGTTCTTTTGTTGAAAGCGCAAGAAGTGAAGGCAGAAGAGGACTGTATAAAGTCAACAGAAAATTTAATCAAAGTCTGGGCACAGGTAAGACAAAGCAGTGCTGGGATCAAAGAGACAAAGCTCCCGCAGGAAATCCGTCTTCTGAACCACGAGTTATGTTTTCTGGTTACATTTATTTTCTCAGGCGGAGACCGCCAGGTACAGGGGTTGGACTTACACGTATCTACTGGCCATAGACGTGAGCAGACCAACCTCTGCTTCACATTAGTTTACTGTACCTGTGTTAGAAACCAAATGTGTGTGAGTGTTGTAATTTTCAGAAGGTAGCTAGCAATCTGAATACTGGTTGGTTGTCTGCGCTCTAGTATCTATCTATAATGCTAAATGGGCCAGGTGGTCATCTCGGGTTGTAGGCCCCCTGTCTCTACAAGATACTACATGACAAAGCAGAACTTGCAATATGCTAAGTGGGCCTATGTGAAGATGCAAAACAGGCCAACAGGTCTGTGTTAAAATGTAAAATAGAGCATCTGGTTACTTGAAGGTACAGACATCATGTCTCCACAAAAGTTACAGCATACAGTTCCAAAGTTTCAACTCAGTAGAATTTGGCATCAATAGTTTTAATATATATAAACAAGGCAAAATAAAGGTATGAAAAGTAACTAAAGGGAAAATAAAGTTATGACAGGTAAATAAAGGACACTGAAGTTATGAAAAGTAACTAAAGCTTATAAAGTAACTGAAGCCTATAAGATTCAAATCTTACACTTTTAGTTGGCGGAAACTTGACTAGACTAAAAAGAGTATGAACGTGAAACGTGAAATTAGAACAGGCCACCAAAAACAACTGTAGTCATTACCTGTCTTTGAATCCCCCCCCCCCCCCCGTGGAACAACGCAGACGGGGGGAAGGCCAACAATGTCCCTTAACAACTGAGTCGTTATAGCCCAGTATCGGTGAGAGTCGTTACCTGTCTTTGAATCCTTCCCTGTCGACCGACGCCTATTGTCCTGGTGGGCATGTTTGGGCAGAGATCTCAGAACAGGGTTGTAGATGGATGACAAGTTGTGTCTTAGTCCACCACCCCTATTTAGTGAGGGGTGTTCTATTTTTACAAAAATTGTTTCCTTGACTCCTCTCTCGAACCAGCAATGTTTGCTGGAGAGAATCTGGACTTCACTGTCCTCGAGGAAAGTTGCAGGGAAAGTCCAACAACTGCAGCTGGACCAGGATGAGACCATGGTCTCATATGATGTCACATCCTTGTTCACTTGTATCCCCACCACAGAGGCTGTTAAAGCGGTGAAGAAGAGACTCTTGAAGGATGACATGCTGAACAGCAGGACTAGCCTCACCCTAGACCATGTATACACTCTGCTGGAACTCTGTTTAAACACTACCTACTTCCAGTTTAGGGGGCACTTCTATAGGCAGCAACACAGCTGTGCTATGGGCTCCCTGACACCAGTCGGGCAGAACTGATGAGGCCTCTTGGATGAGAGGTGAAATGTCTTCGACCTAGAAACCTAGTCCAGTTGATGTTTTCTAAGTTTTTTTTTCAGCTTACTCTGACCTGGATGACTGCACAGACATGTTTATTTAACATTACTGGATTATATAGGTGTGCTTTAAATTTGTTGCTGTAATAACTAATATACTGAATATAACGTTAAAGGGCCCATGGTATGCTTTTCCTTGTTTTTTGACTTATCTACAATGCTACAACCGTGAATTCTCATCTTAGACATGAACTAAAGCTCAAAAATGAGGTGAACGTATGTTGTAGTATTTTTATGCAGAAGCAACTGGGTTTATACATGTCTTGCAAACGGAATTTTTCGACTGTGCCCGGTGTAAGATTTGAGTCTTATAGACTCTAGTTACTTTATAAGCTTTAATTACTTCTCATACCTGTAGTTCCCTTTAGTTACTTTTCATAAATTTATTTTCCTTGTCTATACATATTACAGCTGTATTGATTATTGTCCAGAACTACTGAGCTTTGGTTATTTTAATATATTTGTTTCCCTTGCTTATATATCTTACAGCTGTAATGAAGCAGAATCTGCTTACTTTGAATGCTGTAAGTTCTGTGTAGAGACTAGATGCATCTCTTTGTGACCAGACAGCCTATTTACATGTTAGCAAAGGCCTGTTTTACACTCACACCTCGACCCACTTACCATATCCCAATGTAATGTTAATTTTACCTGTGATCCTTTAAATAAACCAGCATGGTTTTTTGTATCCACTTGGACCGCCTCGTCTCTCTGAGTTTCACTGGTTAAGAGTAACTGGGAAATATCTTTCAACCAATAGGATCACAAGCTATTGAAGGTTGTACCTCTGTCCAGGGTGGAGCAGCCCAAGAAGATAAAATGTATTGTAAGAACTTAATTCGGGATTCAGAAGTCGGATCTCCTGCAGGAGCTCTGGGTCTCTGATCCCAGCGCTGTAAGGCCTACCTGTGATCAGACTTTCAGTAAACTTTCTGTTGATTTTAAACAGTCCTCTCCTGTCTTCGCTTCTTGTGCTTCCAACAAAAAAATTGGGTTAATTTCTAACACCGGTTTTGTGAATATATTTTACCTCCTGCTGCTGCACTTTGATCAGGCGATGTGGAGAAAAACACAGGTCCTGAGGTTACTGCATGTCCAGGAATGTTCCTGTCCAGGGACTCGCTGTTTTACCTCACCGGGTCTAACCTACGGTCAACTGGCATGTGAAGTCCCCAGTGGCCCCCAGCTCATCAACGCTGAATTCCCCTGGAGCACAGTACCTTTTTATTCTGACTGCTTCAGGCCAGTGTGTCAGTGTGTCTGCCGCATGTGATGTGTTGCTCGTTAACAAGGGGACTAGTTAACTACTCATGATGTTATTGTCGGTGCTACACTACCTGTTGGAATTAATTTCATTACTTTGGGTGGGGGAAGATGCAGCGACCACCAGTTAGATTTACCGACCTTGGAGCTACTTGAAAGGGAGTGATGTTTCCACTGCTGTGTGGGACTTAACAGTAAACTTAAAAAACCCACACGCTGCATGTCTGTTAATGACTTGTTTCTGTAACGTTAGAGAGAATTGTAAGGCTGGAGAAGTTCTTATGTCTGCATTATTCTTGTTAAAATATGGGCTTTCACAATTACCTGCTTTGTTTAGAGTTTTACACATCTCTTTTCATCGGTACATATCTGTTATCTATCTTTGGAGGAGAAATTGCGATTAATTAATGCCTTCGCAGTTCGTTGTGCTGTCCACTTGCAACACAACACCAGCAGCAGGAGTTGTGCGCGTTCACAAACTGTCCTCTCGTTTTAAGGAAGAAGCTTTCTGGCTTTCTGATTTTGAAATAATTACAAACTATTTGGAGTTATGAGTGGTGCCAGGTTAACCTAGAGGTACCCAAGATTAAATGGCTGGTAATAAGCAAAATGAGCATGCCACTTTAATGGAGGCTGTAGTCTCGCAGTCCTAATGTATTTAGCATGAATTGAGCTCGACATTTATAACTTGCACTTGCAAATGAATCTTCTTGTGTGATTTTTTTTGTCACTACAAACACAACAAATGATGTTTTACCTCTAAGCAGCTCCCTTAATGTAGAAACTATAAAAACACTCCGGTCATTGAGGGATTTTTTTCATTTGGAGTTCCTCTCCCCACATTGACGTGCCAGGTCCATCACCAAGTGATGTTCCAGGACCTCATAATTTACAAATTAAGCACTGGCAGTAGAAGTATGGTTTCCAGCATAAGTGGCTAAAATGGGAAAAGGTTAATGCATATGCAGTTTCAATTTTTCCCTCATCTCAAGCAGTTACTTACTGTATAACAAGTATAATGCTATTTACTTAGGGCTCTTACTTTATTCCCTTCTTCTCTTTCTTCTCCGGTTTGTGTTTGGAGACCCGGCTCCTGGAAGCCAGTGAGATGTTTATGTACAGGACTGTCATAATAATGACAGGAAGATAAAATGCCGCTATAGCCGTCCCAAATGTTACTGCAGGGTTAGAAAGGAACTGAAAGGAAAGGAAAGAAGCCCATCAGTCATACACAAAATAAACATCTATTTGTTCATGAGGTACAAACATACCCAAAATACATACATAGCAAAGGCAACATTAATTATAATAGTCAACATCTAAATACAGAAACAAAAAAATAAATCGTTTTTCATGGCCTCCAAGAAAGTTCCTTCTTGAAATGAAGATCAGTACTTGTGACAAAACAATACTGATGTAATGCATGGCATCACAAGTGACAGCTGTGTGGAACACAGTATCAGTATCAGACAGTGGACAAGACCAACTTAACTTCAGAAACAGTCAACATAAGCTGTCTCTCAATGCCAGGCCACAACCACTCACAGCATCCGGAAGATGCTCGATAGACCATCACTTTTCTCCCTGTCCACATATTAAAGGACTGAAGGGGAAGACAGTGTAACAGAACTGTAATATAGACACTGAAAAGAAACTTATTTTGATACAATACTTATGTGGTTTTCAGTTTCTTACCAAGTTTGTTTCTGGTTTGTTTATGCATGATGTCTTATTTTGGTGGGAGGACAGCATACCGCATGTCGTAAGTTTGTTTCTTGTGATCATTTTAATGTATTTTTAAGCTATACATCCATCCATTAGCCATACTGCTTATCCAGTGGGCTGGAACTGATCCCAGCTGACACTGGGTGAAAGTCAGGTACACCATAAACATAGTGCAATATGGCAGTACGTGCAAGTGCAGCAGCTTATAGCTCTACTACACCGATGTTTTTTGTGTGTTTGTGCTTGATTTTGCGTGTGTACCAATGGATTATTAGAGCACATTGTGTTTACAGTCGTAATGTCTCAGTCTACTGAGTGCTACAGCCATTACTAGTGAATTTATGACAGCAGTCTTTTCATTTTTCTTAATAATTTAGCACAGTGAGTGCATTTTTTCTTTCTGTATCTGACTCAAGGATTAGTAAAATTTTATGTACTATACCTGAATGTAACATTCTCCAGGTGGCACTGTTCGCTCTCCAACAATGAACTGCCAGAACAAGATGGCTGGAGCCCACAACATGAAGGACAGGATCCATGCTGCCGCGATCATTAACCCTGCCATCTTAGTTGTCCTTCTTGTTGGATAGGTGAGGGGTTTGGTCACACAGAAATAGCGATCAAAGCTGATGATCAATAAATTCATTACTGAGGCGTTTGAGACAACATAATCTAAAGATAGCCACAAGTCACAGACCACAGGCCCAAGTGGCCAGTAGCCAACAATGATGTAGACTGTATACAAATTCATGCTGAAAACACCAATGATCAAGTCAGCACACGCTAATGAAAATAAGAAGTAGTTATTGACAGTTTGTAGGTGACGGTTTACTTTGATGGAGAGCATGACTAAAATATTTCCTGTTACAGTCACAAAGCTCAGTGATCCTGTAACCAAGGCAATAAATATCATCTCTAGAGCTTTGTATGGACTTTCTGCATCCAGTCCGTCATCCACAGGAGAGCAGGAAGTTGAATCACTGGTGGACATATTGCATGTTGCGTTGGATAACTGGTCAGTTGATTGATTCACTGATGACCCTGATGGAAGAAATCAAGAGATAAAAAAGACAAAGAAAATTATGGGACATGGAATAGTGGCTAATGCCATGTAATTTAATCATAAACGTGCTGAAGAAGGAATGTTATTTTCACAATTGTTCTTGAATTCCTGAGGATTAGGGCCACTGTAAAAAAGTATTTAAGTTCTGACTTTTTTCTAAGAATTCTATCGTGTAAGATCATCAGGAGAAAATCATGTTTTTATGGAGCCTAGTTTATTGATTTAATCGATTTTCCCTGGCTCATTACAGAGGGTGAAATTGAAACTCAAGAAACCTGATCAGTTGTAATATATATTAGTACAAACAAAAAACAATGGGATTTAAACAGCTGACTGTTAAGATTATGCTTCACTAAATGCAGCAGGGGGGAAAATAGACAAGTATAAAAAAATGCAAGGGTTCTAGAGGAGACATATCAAGAATTCAGTATGGACTGACACATTTAATATACTGTAATGGATTTCTATTTGCAGTGTGAGACACGTGTAGAAAATGCTCTGAATGGAGCTTCACTTTTTAAACATTAAAGCATAACTACAATCATTTTCAAACTGCCAACATTATTTTACCCCCTTTTTTAAAATCTGTTGATGAGTAATCTGGCAAATTCTTGTGGGTCTTAGCTAGATACTGAGGTTTATCAAACTAAATTAACACTAATGCTTGAAATTTGAATCAAAATGGCTGAGAACAGATAGGAATGATGAAAAATAACAGCCAGTGGTGGTGATAAACACAAAGTACCCTAAAGTCACATGGACTTACAGGTGTGAATGCCACACAAGATAAGTGAAATATAAAGTAGATACGTAGGTAACACAAAATCTAAGGCACTTTAAAACAGCCAATGAAAGAAGCATAATATGCTACATGGGAGCTGTGTGTACAAATAGTCAGCAGTGAGTGTGCCAACTGAGTGTGTAAACAGTACAGGTGGAATTACATGAGGTAGTTCCTGAGTCTGCTGTTTAGAAGTCGGAAAGAAAGAGTTTTTCAGTCTGGGAGGCTTTCATTTCACACTTCTGAACCACCGGCCAGAGGGTAGGGGTATGAACAGTCCATGCTGGGGGTGGGTGGGGTCTTTGAGGATGGAGGCAGCTCCATCCTCAGAATGGTACCATTTCGGAACACCATGTCAGAATGGTAAGGTCGTGTTTAACTTTCCCAACAAAGTAAAAGCATGTTCACAGTGTAGCAGAAAAACATGGGTCTTGCACTGTGTATTCTGCGCTGGTCGGCATCGAAACTAAAGTAGAAACTCCCGGAGGTACTGTACAAAATGGCGCCTTCTTAGTGATAACATTGCTAGGAGTAGATCATTATATTTCAGGGCCTCCAACAGTGTTGCTGATATTTCACCAGTTAAATACCTTGTCTTTATCTAATCTCCATACAAGGATCATATGTTATTTTACAGTTTGGTAAATTTGAAAAACAACCAGGCCAAATTAGTTTCACATCACTTCAATTAGTGGTCAATAGTGATTGGCTGTGCACACAAAGATCAGCACAGCTGGGGTCAAAGTTCAACAAATTTGAACTTTGAACTTGTTATAATGTCCATAACAAATGTAGCGGGAGGCAGTTAAACTAGTTAACTTTAGCACTGTTATTTTTGTTTAGCTGTCTATGCTCTCAGCATAGTGCTGTGCAGGGCTGGACTAACCCTTACATATCCGATTCTACCCCTGGTGTGGAATCACAGTGGGCACAGTTTCAAAACTGCTCGTTCTCCTGGTGGGAGATTCAGTATTTTAAATAATGTAAAAACACAGTGAAGATGCATTTTAGTGATGTGACAATAAAGGAGGACCTCTGCCATCACCCTGATCCATCTCAAAGCAAATTTCTGTGTGTTTTTTCCATCATATCACCTTTTTAAACAGGGAGCCTCTTTTACACCTGACTCAGATCAAGTCACTTACAACTGTGGTCTGCCTAATCCAATCACATTCCAGTTCCAATGTGTTCTGCATGTATTCACACTTGGAATTAATGTGTTTTTCATGTATCTGGATACAGCTGACATTTTAAAGTGTAAATGGGGTAAATCAGATCATGTGAAATTTAAGCACTTTCTCAGTGGTAGCAGGCTGACCTCATTTCAGAGACATGTAGACTGTCAGTGGCAGGCTGGGATTATTATATACAGTATGCAACCTGTGGGGAATTGAGGAGAGTAAGTCACCTGTTCAGACTTTTTCATCACTGCCCTCTGTCTCTTGTCCACCCTCCCACATTCAAAAACCTAATCTATACCAATGTGCATAACAGAACTGTAATATAAACACTGAAAAGAAACTTATTTTGATACAATACTTATGTGGTTATACAGGAGTTATAGTTTATGTTCACATAAGGTGTAGAAGAAATTGCACTGTTCTCATTTTTAGAGTGAAGCAACTATTAAACATTTTCTGTTAATTTCATTATTGTGTTGAGACTTCAGACTGATCCATTTCAAGGTTTATGATGGTTCTGTAATAAATTCTGATATGTGTTCATTATCTCACATACATAAAGCTACTCACATTAGACAGGTGACCAGTCTGCCACATGCCTGGCAACTACTCACACTCAAATTCAAGTCTCGATGCTGTGGGAGGAAACCCACACAAGATATGTAGAGTATTATTTGTTCACATAAGTATTTGAAATAATACTCTACATTGCATTGGATTTAAACCCATGGTCACCATGCTTTCAGGCAACAGTACTAACAACTGCACCACCATACCACCTACAGAACTGGAGATAATTTTAGCTCAGTAGCAGAATCACACCTCAACCACTCCTCTTCCTTATGCCCTGAGGGCCATTTTCTTCTTCTTTTCTGTTCACATGACCACACCTAATATGTCCACAATATGGAAAGCAAGAACATCATTATTTTTTCATCTGACTGTAAATAAGGGTCATAATCCAAGAATAATCTTTAAAACCATAATCTCTGTGAATGCCCTCCCATTAAGGCAGACAGTTCAGTCCTTCCTGGAG